ATATATATATATATATATATATATATATATATATATATATTATACCTAACATTAAATGGAACCTTCTTCCCCAGCTTCTCATCTGACAATTTCACAATTGTGATTTGAAAAGATGTACTTTCCACTAGCACTCCTAGATTCCCCTCATCATTTCCTCATCCACACACAGCAACTGCCACCGATTGCCCACAGAAAGTCGAACAGGTGTGAAAAAGAGGCGCTAGCAACCAGATACTCAAAGCCTGTCTAACAAACACGAAACACTGTCGGCTGAGCAAGACACCACTCCCCCTGAAGACCTTTGCAAATGCACAGGAACCTGGACGAGTCTGGCGCAAGGGGAGAGGAGCTGCCCAGCCTCCGGTGACGCAACAGGCTGGGCTGCCGGACCTCCACAGCGGCCACTCGGGCCTCAAGAACGGCATCTAACAACAATCACCTCCGTTTCTGATTTTGCATCGGTCACCTGCCAGCTTGTCGAAAAATGGCTGCCAGGGCCCCACCCTGAGGACTCTGAGTCCAGGGGGTGAGGACCCAGGAGAGTGCATTTGCAGAAGCTCCCTCCCCCTCCAGTGACTGGTGCACGGAGTTAGGCGCAGCCCTGGTACACGGGACTCAAACAGGTTCGTCACGCCGGGCCCGGTACTCCGATCCCTCACTCACAGCTTTCCATTCAAACCGGTCCCGCTCCCAAGAGCCTTTGGCAGGATTAGTACCGGGGGAGGGGGGGAGGGCGGGGGCCGGGGGGCTGCTCCGGCAATGAAGAGAGAAGGGCGAGTAGCACTGCCGAATCATCTCGGCTGCTCCCTTCCAAACGCAGGCTGTGTTTTGTAATCTCTAACCGGAAGAGGTGCCAATTCCGTCCCAGATGCTTTAAACCCGGTCTGAGGCCTCGTCCCCTCCCGAGGGCCGGCGAGGGTCGCGGAGGGCGGGAGGGCACACCGGGTCCGGGAGAGGAGGAGGCGCGGACCGGAAGGTCGTGGGCTTTTACGCCCTCCTCTCCACCTACTCACCTTCCTCGCCCTCGTTCTCCCCGTGACCTTGTCAGGACTCCATGGCCCGAGCGCTCGGCCTCCCGATCAGTCCTCACCCGCCGCTCGGCCCCGCTCCGGGCCCAGCCCCTCCGCGGGTCACTCCTGACGGTCCCATCCGAGAGTCCTCCCTCCCGGCCACCATGCACTGCACAAACGTCTGCCTCACCTCCGCGCTGGCTCCGTCTCTCCTCACCCGACAGGGCGTCAGGCCTTGTGTTTGGACCCCACCCACCCCCCAAACTCCCTGAACCACGCGGTCCCGCCTGAGCCCCCAACTATTCCTCGCCCCCATTACCCCCGGCCTCGCCCCACTCCCAGCCTCGTGGCCCCCAACCCCCTCAAGGTGCTCTCGGCACAGCCAAGCATGATCCCACCGCCTCCCGCTCAAAATCGGGCGTCCCCGCTCCCAGGACCCCTCCACACTTCACTCACCAAACGCAACACGACCGCTCACACTCTCGCCGGCTTCTGCCCCGCCCGCGCGCGCCGTCGAGCCGGCTTCTCCCCGTCCCGCCTACAGCCGGTTCCAGCCAATCAGAAGGTCGGAAGCGGCCGGTGTTTGCGTGCGTGTGCGCGGTGGGTGGGGCCTCCCGGAGCGGGTTCCCGATTGGCTGGCGCGCCGTAGGGGCGAAGTCCCCTGCTCTCGCGCGGGGATCTCGTCATAGGTGAGCGCTCCCTTGTGGGGTTTGCGTGGTGCTGCGGCCTACGACTCCCAGTCTGAGGGCACTTCCCGTTACTCTCGCCCGTTCCCCCGGGGACAGGCGGGGCCGGGTGTGCGGAGCCCGGCCGCCTCAAGGTCGGTTTTGTCTGAGCCGGGTGGCCCGCGGTGTGAGAGCTCAGGGGGGCCAAACCACAGGACCAGCCATTTGCTAGGGAAGGAAAGCTTTCCCCCTAGGGCAGTGGTTCTCAACCTTCCTAATGCCGCGACCCTTTAATACAGTTCCTCATGTTGTGGTGACCACCAGCCATCAAATTATTTTCGCTGCTACTTCATAACTGTAATTTTGCTAGTGTTATGAATCCTAATGTAAATACCTGATATGCAGGATGTATTTTCATTGTTACAAATTGAACATAATTAAAGCATAGTGATGAATCACAAAACAATATGTAATTATATATGTGTTTTCCGATGGTCTTAGGCGACCCCTGTGAAAGGGTCATTCGACCCCCAAAGGGTCGCGACCCACAGGTTGAGAACCGCTGCCCTAGGGTCTAGGTTTTTGTTTTCCCAGTTTTGCCCCTATTCTGGGGCTTTTTGGCCCTCGTGCGTTTGTGTACTTGGCCCGTGGTCCTTGCTCAGCTCATGACTGATTGCCTATCACATGTATATCTATATCTGTAAATATCGATAATATCTATCTATAAATGTCAATAGAGTCTCTTGATTCCCACTATTTACACACTTCTGTAAAGAACCCCCCTCCCTGCTCCACTCACTGCCATGGATACTGATTGCCTTTCTGCTTTCTCCCACTCTGTCTCTCCCAACAACGACTCAGGGCTATTTTTACAGTCCGCTAATTCGCCCAGAATGAGTGCCTCTTCTGGGAGGCCCTGCCATACTCAATGGCACTGCAAATAGGCTTTTATTGACTGATCTCTGGGCTCTCCAAGTCACTTTGCCCTCATACTGAGTGCAAAGCACCATCTGTTTGTCTCGATGGCTTAATGAATCGAGGCTCATAAAGGTGGCTGACATCTGAATTCGATCCCGTCACAGTAAGCACAAAATAATGGGTGGAAAAATCACTTGAATACCTCTGGGAGAAAAATGGATTATACAAAGAGTCACTTCACTCCATGTGGTGGCCCTGAGGGACTCCTCCTCTGTGCTGATGCTTTTGCCTAAGGACTGGAACCTGCCTGCCCTGTTGTGGGAAAACCAGAAAAGAAAGGTTTTTCTGCCTGACCCAAGTTCACTCTGAATCAGCAGTCAAGTGCTAGCCATCAGAGTCCGGCCATTTTGCTTTATAAGGGCAAGGAAAGCTTTTTAAATGGTGAGTGTTAAGTAACCACTAAAAAAGTGAGCTAGTGTTGGGCTGATGTGGCTCAGTGATTGAGTATTGACCTATGAACCAGGAGGTCATGGTTCGATTCCCTGTCAGGGCACATGCCCCTGTGGGGTCGATCCCCAGTAGGGGACAAGCAGGAAGCAGCCAATCAATGATTCTCTTTCATCATTGATGTTTCTATCTCTCCCTCTCTCTTCCTCTCTGAAATATATATATACATACTAGAGGTCCGGTGCACGAATTTGTGCAGTAGTGGGGTCCAGCCGGCCCGCCTGATGGGAGCCATCGGGGACCGGCTGGCCGGGGCGAGGGTCCACGGGTGGTTTGTTGGCCAGGACTCTGCCCCGGATCAGGGTGGGTGGGCCCACTCAGGGCAAGGCCTGCCAGGGGGAGGGGCCATGGGCATTCCGGTCGTTCTGCCATTTGGTCAATTTGCATATTGCCTTTTTATTATATAGGATATATATTTAAAAGCAAGCCTGTTACCTAGCACAGTGTGGCTGATCAGAGAGAACTCACTGGCAGCGAGAGGTGTTAAGTGTATTGTCCAGATTGTAAATTCTGGATTGGCTGTTGCTTAAGGGCAGTTTATCAATAACTTAAAAAGACCACCTTTTGTTCATTTGCTCTTACATTTAGCTGGGATCTGGAATCCTTGTGATCCCTGGGCTGTAGTGAGTGAGCTGTCCACGGCCTCCCCTTACCTGCAAGTATCTTAAGCCAGAAACAAGCAGAACCACATGCAGCTAGCTATCCAAACAGCCCTGCCAAAAGGCATGAGGGGTGAGTTAATTAAATGTTTAACCAAATATAGCATGCTAGTTTTTAAGTTGATACTTTTTTCTTTAAAGAAATATTTTTATTGATTTCAGAGAGGAAGGGAGAGAGAGAAACATCAATGATGAGAGAGAATTTAAGTTGATAATTTTGTATGGTCCCTTGAATGATGTTATAAATATCCAAATGGTCTGGCTGGCATGGCTCAGTGGTTGAGTGTCAACCTATGAACCAGGAGGTCACGGTTCAATTCCCTGTTAGGGTACGTGCCCAGGTTTCGGGCTCAATCCCCAGTATGGAACTTGGAAGAGTCAGCCTTTCAGTGATTTTTCTCTCATTGATATTTCTCTCTCTCTCTCCCTCTCCCTTCCTCTCTGAAATCAACAAAAATATATTTTAAAAATAGTGACATTATCAAACACTGCAAAGATGTGGAGAAGTGATTGTTCATACATTAGTGGTGGGAATGTAAAATGGTACAGCCACTCTACAGAGCAGGTTGGCTGTTTTTTCCTGTCCCAGTCAGAATACTATCGGGCAAAGCATTCCCAGGAGAGGGGAGCATCAAGCCATCTGATACTGGCCAATGAGAGAAGGGACAGAGGAGATCGCCCGTCTGTCCCTTAAGCAGGGTGGAAGTGTGGGTGAGCTTTGGATGGAGAGAAGGGGAAAGGAGATAACGGTCAGTCAGAGGGCCACAGAGTTTGGAATATGTAAAATACACTATTTGATCAATGCAGAGGACATATTGAGAAGGCTGTAAACCCGGGCTTTGGTAGCGGCAAGGCACAGGGAAATTGCTGCCCATATGTCCACATAGGTGTGTCAGACTTAGAGTTTTCAAACAGGAAGATTAGCTCACTAGGTGCAAACAAGTCTTTGTACTCTAGGCAGTAGCCCTATTGAGTGGATGACTAAGGCAATCCACCTACGTGACTTACCAGGTCAGGGGAGAAAAAGGGAGTGGTGGACCAGGAGTGATGGGCAGTTCTGGGTGGGCCAGGTGAGTCACCCTCCCCAGGGTTAATACCAGGAGATCAGGCCACGGGCTTATGCAGCTCATTCTCTTCACCTTTCCCCAAATTCTAGTTTTGTCAGTTCTCTCATCCTCTGACTTCTCTGAGAGGGCCGTGGAGTTGAAATAGCTCCAACTTGATAGGTAGGGACCCTGGGGTCCAGAGAGGAGAAGGGACTTGCCCTTATTCCCACAGCATGCTGATTTCAGAGTTGGGATTAGAAGGGCCTCTTGGCTACCAACCCCTTGCACTCTGTCCTCTACCAACAAGGCTTTCCTCTCTGAGTCTTCTCCCCATTGTACCAACTAAGGCAAAAGGGACACAGAATGGGACATGGCAGAAACTTGAAGGGGTTGTCCCTCAACTGTGAAGTGCCCCAGGGAACGTAGGGAGAGGCAGGAGGAGTTTGGGGGCAGAGGTTTGTCTTCCATGGCCGTATTCTCAAGAGAAAGCCGGGTTTAGGTCATCTTTTTTTAAATGTAAACTCCGAAATAACAAATTCTGTGACCCTTTCATAGATCTCTTAATATTTTATTAAACAAATACTGGGACCGCTTTAAATGTTTTCTTTGTAGCACCCCTTTTAAATAGCTTTTTTGAAGTTTATTAACTTACAACTAGGTCTATATATCTCTCCCCTGATGAATGTGATGAGGACTGAATGTCTCAATGACTCTCCTCTGATGACCACAAGGCCATCGTGGAGGGAGACTTAGGTTGTATCCATGTATCAAAGGAAGTGTGTAATTTCTACATATAAAGGGTTGGAGGTGTTGATCTCTGACCTCTGGCTGATGAGCACTCCTCTACTTCTACAATGCAGTCCCTACAAGTAACAAAATCTTGCTTTTATTTTTTAAAAATATTTTTATTGATTTCAGAGAGGGAGGGAGAGGGAGACGGAGATAGAAACATCAACGATGAGAGAGAATCATTGATTGGCTGCCTTCTGCACGTCCCACACTGGGGACCAAGACTGCAACTTGGGCATGTGCCCTCCCTGGTGACCTCTCCTGGGTCATAGGTCGATGCTCAACCACGGAGCCACGCCAGCCTTACCAAAATGTTGCTTTTAGATTTTGTCTGTATCCCCCTCCCCCAACAATTTGGCATAGTCAAGATATGGAGCAACCAGACTCCCAGAAGAGCAGAGATGTAATGTAGGGTGAATGGATAAGTGCCCACCTGGTGAGATCCCGTAATGTCTTCCTTTTGTGTCCTCCTCCCTCGCCTTCCACGCCTGGTGATGCCATATCTAAGTTCTGCCCCTGGGCTGGTTTTCTTTTCAGAAAGTCTTTGTTGCTTCAGGCAGGCATCATAAACTAAACCTGTTTAACTGTCTGGCCTCTCTTGCACCCCTTCCTTCTCAGACCCCTCAAAATCAGATGTTCTCTAGTTCTCTTTAGACCGGATAAATGTTCCACGGATGTTCCTGTCTGGGTCAGGAAAGGAACTACAACTTCCCCTGAGTCAGTTAATTTTAAACATTTTGGTCCTTCTGTTTAATTTAGGATTTGTGTACCAGAAAGAACCCAAAACTCCAGAGATTGATCCTGGAACCATAATTTCCTGAAATGTTCAAGGAAGAATAAAGAAAACCCTCATCATGGCCACACTGAGTCAGAGATCTATGAGAAAATGAGGCCTAAAAAGTAAAAGGCTAAATCCTTAATTGCCCCCCAGGAGAAGTTGGAAAACCTCAGTAAGTATGTTGGTAAACTTCTTTTGGGGAAGTTTTTTATGTTCCTGTAAAAAAACAACAACAACCCTGATAGCACAATATCAGGCCTTCAACCTTTAGAGGGGGTGTGCCAGTTGTCACTTAACGCCTCCTTATTCCAAATCCACCCTTCATTACTTTTCTTGTGATATTAGAACATTTCTTCATTGCCAGCAGGCTCAATTGTTGTCAGTAGGGGGTGCTAGAGGGCACATTTCATCCATGTGAGCAGGTGGTGTCCAACCATAGCCTCTGCCTACTAAGAACCCCAGTTGTAGGGGACTCTTGCTTGCCAGGCAAGGCCCATAGTATTCTGCCTGCCAGCCTCAGCTTCTGACTGTGTACCAGCTCTGGCCCAGATGACCCAGTGAACTTCCCTGTCATCCAGTGGTGGCAGTCACACCCTAAGAGACCTGTGTCCCAGCTTTAGGGAGGGGCTCCCTCCCATCCCAAGCTATTTCCTTCTTTGAGTACTTTCCCTCTGTCAGAGGGTATTCTTTAGAGTTCGCTTTTATTTCCTCATAGTAGTTCCCTTTAAATAGTTACTAATTCTTTATATTAAACTTTCCTTTTTCAAACCATTGTGGTTACTGTCTCCTCACTGTCCTTTCATGGGCCATGATGCTGAAAACGCAGCACGTCTCAATTCATACTAGTCACATTTTAAGGGCTCAATGGCCATGTATGGCTAGTGGCTATTGTATGGGACAGTGCAGCTCTAAATCATGGTTTGACACATACTTAATGCGAGTGACACTTTGGGGGACAGTTTAAAAAAAAGAAATTGCATAAAAAATATTGGACTTAATTCTGTAGCTTTATTGATACTAGAGGCCTGGTGCACGAATTCATGCACAGGTGGGGTCCCTCAGGGTGGCCTTCGAGGATCGGGCCAAAACCCACAGTCCAACGCCACCTGCAGCTCCTACCTGCCACTTCCGCTCATTCCGGCCCCACTGTGCCTTCTGCAGGCTCGCGCCCAATCAGTCCCGATCGGGAGAGGCTCACACCACCACAGCAGCACTTGTGAGCCCTGTGTTTGGTGCCCTCCCAAGGGGAGCGGCCTGTAGGATCTGACTCTCCGACATCCCCTGAGGGGTCCCAAATTGTGAGAGGGCGCAGGCCAGGCTGAGGGACCCCACCAGTGCATGATCGGGGCCAGGGAGGGACCACAGGAGGGCTCCAGGATGTGTCTGGCCCATCTCACTGGTATGTGGGCACCAGGATAACATTGAGGGGTTGGTGCTTTGGTGGGAGGTTGTGCCCTGAGGCGTCTGGAAAAGGAGATTACTCTGACATTCCAAAGGTACGTTATCACCCGAGGTCAAGGGCTTTGGTGGTCTCTGTGAATTGTCTCCTGACTTACCTTGTTTGCTATTGGCATTTATGTAATTGTGGCTTGTCACCTTGTATCTTCCAGGGATGGTCTAGAGCCCCACAGAGTCATGGAGATGCTCAAGGGAACATCTCAGGGCTCTTTCCATCTGGGTTCTTGGTTGAAATGGCTTGTCATAGACCCTGTACCCTGCTGGAACCTGTGTGTTGTATGTCGTCTAGGATGGCCCGGGCTGCAAAGGAATCCAGGACGTGAGTACTTGACAATGAGATAGTAACAGACAAGTAAGAAAGCTCGTGGTTGAAGTGACACTAGTGGAGTACCAGCCAGAATGATGTTGATGTGGCCTGAGTTCCAACATCTGGTGGGTTGTGGAATTGCAGCATTAGTGTTCATCTTGATCTTTGGAAAGGTTTTAGGCCGTGTAAAACTTGCTTGTTGCAAAGTTTTATTTGATTTTGCTTAGTGCCATAGTGTTGCTTCTAGCTCACCAGAGCTTTGGAGGTTGGAAGAATGTGTGGTTTGTAACTTATACACATGTTGAAAAAGTTTTCCCATGAAATGAGAACATTAGTCTGAGTTTAGATGTGAGCCTATCTTTTCCTGGGGAAGAATGCATTTTTGGGAGTTCTTCTGTGATGGCATCTGCCTTCCAGTAGGGGTCGCTGTATACTACCCAGAGAAAAAGCTTAACAACTCAGACCCAGTGGATGGCTCCTAAAGCTAATAAATAGGAAAACCCGGGGGCATGCCTCGCATGTTTTATTCTATCACGCTCCTTCCTCCAATTGTGCACTAAGATGCCGGATCTGGTGAGCAGGGGAAGGAAGGAGGGATCTGGAAACTGTGGGTTGCCCATTTTCGTGGAAGTTAAAATAGATAGGACAAGATAGTAATCTGCTAGTGTTCTATACAGGAACCCCATTTTGTTATTGTTCCTACACTGGGAAATGACGGGGTCTAGGGATTGGACAGGGAGGGTACTCATAAATATTTACACGCTGGACTGCTTCATCTCAAACATTTCTCTTTACATACGTCAACTGCTTTAACTTAGACAGAGCTTTCCCAGGCAGAAAAAGTCATGCTTATAAATCCAGTGCACCAAGCTCCTGTTCTCAGAACAGAATAGCATTTGAGAAGCATTCCTGAGGTCAGGCTGTTTGAGTGGAGGGATGGTCAATACAGGGAAACATCAATTAACATTTCAAAAAAATGCCTCCCCGCACCGCCCCCCCCCCCTCCATTACCAGTGTGATGTGACCACTGTCTCTTACACAGATGTTCCCTCTACTTTTTGCCTTTTGTGTTCATCATAGCTTGTGTAACAGAGGAGGGGAAATTGCCATTTAATTTTTTTAAGTGTGTGTGTGTGTATATATATATTTTTTTAGAAATATATTTTCTTATTGATTTCAGAGAGGAAGGGAGAGGGAGAGATTGAGAGAGAATCATTGATCGGCTGCCTCCTGCATGCTCCCTACTAGAAATTGAGCCTGCAATCCCAGCATGTGCGCTGACCAGAATCAAACTGTGACCTCCTGTTTCATAGGTCAATGCTCAAGTACTGAGCCACACCAGCCGAGCAAAAGTTGCCATTTTAAACAAGGCAAGGGTTCTTAACTTGGGGATCAATGATATAGTTCAGGGAACTCTGAGTGTGGATAGGAAGAAAGTTTACATTTTTATTTTCATTGGCAAAATTGGCATCTCCTTCGATTATGGATGTAGGCAACAAAAGACAGCAGTATTAGCAGGACCTGTCGCAGGTATCTTGAAATATCATTGACACTCATTATTGTCAGGGTAGCTGTAAGATCTGTCACTAGGTCTTCTACATGTGTTAATAATGGAATGCATGTATTACTGTAACATAAAGGTGTTTAAAAATAACTATTTCAGAATACATTTTAAACTTTTTGTTTTAAAATTCCCTTAAGGTTCCCTATGTAACTTCCCCCGGTTTCCCCCAATGGCATCATCTTGTGAAACTACAGCACATCACCACATCAGGAAACTCACATGGGCACAATCCATGGGGCATCTGCAGGTTGGCTCTGCACTCATTGGTGTACATATGTGCGTGTGTATTTAGTTTGATACGATTTTGTCACACGTGTAGATTTGTGTGATCACCAGGACAGTTCCATCACCGCAAGGATCCCTCATGCAATCACCCTTTTATAGCCAGACACTCCCCCTCCCCTCCCTCAGCCCTGTCATTTACTAATCTGTTCTCCATATCTATAATTTTGTAGTTTCAAGAATGTCAAAACATGGGATCTGTGACCTTTTGAGGTCCACATACTTTCAAAAGTATGTAACCTTTTGAGATTGGCTGTTTTTCATTCTGTATACTTCCCTGGAGGGCTGTCCAAATTCTTGTGTAGATAACGGTTTGTTCCTTTTGTTCTTGAGTAACGTTCCATGGTAGGCACGTACTCAACTTGTTCAATCATTTGCTCACTGAAGGACATTTGGGTTATTTCCAATTCTGGGCTATAATTTGTTTTTAAACATATTTTGTTTTATGGGTTAAAAACGTTGTTCTGAGATGGAATCCAGGGCTTTGCTACACCGCCCAAGGGACCCATTGGCACAAAAATGTAGTTGTAAAGGGGAGAAATCTGTACCTCCACCTTGTTCCCTTCTATCCAGAGGAGCTGGGTGGGAAGGCGGACAGGGAAGGGCAGTGTTTCAGAGCCTCGGCCAGGTCTTCTGTGCTGCTGGGGGAGACCTGGGGCAGATGGTCTGACATCGCAGCCACGTCACTGAGCTGACCTTCACCGTAATGAGGGGAGTGGGCGGGGAGGAGAAGCAGAGGACGAGGACGGACAGAGGAAGAATGAGAGGGGCCCAGGCACACGGCAACCTGAAACCCCCCCATTGTCCCCAACCTTAGGAATATCTGTCACACTCACCAATGAGTCATGTGAGTGCTTTTCAGGAGACAAAGTAGTGACCGCGCTGAGTCCCACACCTGGAGCTGCAGGGTCAGGGGACAGCTGTGGGGGGTGAGCTGTGAGTGGGTGGAGAATTGTAGGGAGGTGATTCCCTGCCAGAGGTAAGCCCATCCCATTCTGTGATCTCAGCTGACACTGAACTACATTTATTTTATTAAATGTATCTGTAGGAGTCAGGATGCACACTGTGATGGCCACGGAGCGAGCATCGCAGCCCCCAAGAACAGCTCCCTGACTGGGAGGTTTCAGGTGGAATTTGTGCTGTCTCCAGCCCTATCTGGTACCTGGCGGCCTTGACAGAGTCTAGTGGCCAAGTGTCAAGAAATGCCAGTAGTTAGGCAGAAGATGCAAGAGCTAGGTCAGTGGTGAGCAAGAGTCTACAGGAGGAGACCATAAGTGGTCAAAAGTAAGCCAGCCACCATTGTACAACCGGCGAAGAGTGAATGGATCTGGGCATCGACCCCACGCACCTCCACAAGAAGAGCAACGACCAGGCAGTCTGTGCCTCCAGGTGCATGAACAGCTCTACCCACGAAGCATCAAACCTGAATCTGATCAGACTTCCAACTTCCATGAAATAGAGTGCAGAGAGGCGTGTTAAACCCGCCGAGGATGCGTTCAGCACACCCAGGCTGTGGGGAACTTTACATGCAGGGTGACCAACCAGTTTCTTCAGTAAGTTGTGAGGAAAAGCAAAGGATGGAGGTGAGAGGAAACCTGTAGAGTTTCAAAGGTTTAAAAAATACAGCAACCACTCACAGTGTGTGGACCTCATTTGGATGCTGATTCAAACAAACTTAAGGAAAAAATGGATGAGGCCAGTGACTGGCTATTTGATCATATTAAGGGATCAGTGTTAACTTTTTTAGGTGTGACCATGGTCAAAGTTAATATCATTTAAAGGCACATACTCAGATATTTACAGATCACATGATATGATGCCTGGTATTTGCTTCAAAATAGTATAGGAAGGGGTAGGTGGATGGAAGTGTAGGCGATAAAGATGGGTCACTAGTTGATATTGTTGAAGCGGATGATGGATGCAGAGGAGTTCGTTATACTGTTCTGGCACTTTGAAGGGTATATGTTTGATATACCCTCAAATGCAGTAAGCAACTTAATAAAACTACAAAATTGTCTGGTGAAGAGAGGGAAACATCTAGATTTGGAAGGGGAGTGCAGTCAGCCAACTGGCTGGGGGTCGAGGGTAGGAGTGGAGGCGTCAGGCACCCTGGGCCCTAGACAGACCCTGGGGGAGGGCCTCCCGGATGGACAGATGGGGTGGGAAGGTGAAGGGAGTGTCAGGCAAGGCTTCCAGTTCTAGACTGTTGATTGGCAGTAGGCGTTTCAGTTTCCAAGACTTTGAAAGTGTTGAAAAGAAAATAATTTGAAGGATGAAGTTGGCTGCAGCAAGCAGGAAGCTCAGCCTGTCCACGCCTTCCACCCACTCCCTGGCTCAGCTGTGAACACTGTCAGAGAGTCATAAATAGCCAGAGGGAAACCATTGAGCCACTGAGCAGTAATGAGTGCAAGCAAGATCACTGTGCACACACCAGAAAGACAGTTTGCAAACTGGGAGCACACAAGCCAAAGCATGGAATGGAGCTCAGGGCGTGTTATAAAGCCGCTTACACAGTGAGAAGGCAGTGACTCTTTCCTCTTCACAGTGACTGGCTGTAATACTAGGATTTTCTTAAATGATAGGGCATTGACCAATGGTTACCTCTTTCTACCTTGGGAAACAGCTCAAGTTTTGCTCATGATGTTTCAGAGGTATGACCAAGGTCAAGTTAATCTTACAAAATAAGCTAAATTAACTGCTTGTAGGATTAAATTGGTTTTTTGTTTGTTTGTTTGTTTGTTTTTAACAGCAGCAGCTTCCAAAGCTCTCCACGATGTTGTCTTCTTTGCTGGGTACCTGAGGGGATGGCCAGCTGCTGCTGCTGTTTGCCTTCCCAGATGTCTGGCTGGCT